CGTCCATCTGGATCTTTCCATGGCCTATGACATGTCCCAAGAACACCTTGAATACGGTACGTAAGTGGTCAACGTGCTCCTTGAGCGAGTTGCTATATATAACGATGTCATCCAAGTAGACCACCACGAATTGATCCAAGTACGAATGGAATATCTCATTCATGAGCGTACAGAACGTAGTTGGGGCATTCGTGAGCCCGAAAGGCATCACTAACCATTTGTACGATCCATATCGCGTAATGCACGTGGTCGTGGGTTTGTCTCCCTCGACGATGCGAACTTGGTAGTAGCCATTTTGTAAATCCATCTTGGTGTACACTCGGGCTCCTCCAAGTCGATCGAATAAGTCGGCAATCAAAGGGATGGGATAACAATTCTTGATAATTACCTTGTTAAGTGCCTGGTAATCTACGCACATGCGTAGTGTTCCATCATGCTTCTTTTGAAAGAGTATGGGTGCGCCATAGGGTGCCTTGCTCGGACGGATTTTCCTAGTCTCCGTGAGCTCCTTGAGCTGCCTCCTCAATTCCTCGAGCTCAAGTGGAGACATTCGGTGGGGGCCATGGCTGGTGGCTTGGTGTCGGGCTCTAACTCAATCTTTTGATCCACACCTCGCCTTAGTGGAAGCTTATTTGGCAACTCGGCAGGCATGACATCCTTGTTCTCCTCAAGGACTCCTCGGATAAAGGAGGGCACCTTCAGGGATTCCTCCTCATGGTCGTCCTCCTTTAGTACCGCCAAGTATGTTGGCTCCCCTCGCTTTGCCCCCTTGGCAAGCTGCATCGCGGAGAGTTGCTTGTTAATGCTCCTGTCATCCACTTCTATAGTCGGAACCATGCACGGAAAGTCATTTTCCAATATGCAAACAGTACTAAAGGATGGCATTGGTATAACTGTTACTTGTCGTAAGAAATCCATGTTGAGTGCCACCTTGAAGTCGTCCATGGGCGCTATTGAGAAATTCACGCATCCTTACCATGTCCCTAGGCGAAAACCCACGTTGCTAGCGATTCCCTTGAGTCGACGAGCATTGACATTGACAGTCTTTAGTCACCCGGTTTTCTTGGACCAAGATAGTCCTAACCTTGCAGCTTCCTCCTTGGTAATGAAGTTGTGATTGGCTCCTGTGTCCACCAGGGCCTTTGTCGGAGTCCCCTTAATGTGCGCTTTCACGTACATGAGCCCCTTACTAGACGTGATGCGTTCGGGCTTTGTGTTGAGGGTATTGAGGACTTGCAACGAACCTATCATCGTTGGCTCTTCCTCCTTAACCTCGGTATCATGCTGCTCCATGATGGCCGAGAGGGAGCCTAGCTTTGGACAATCTTTCATGGCATGTGGTCCCTTACACACGAAGAAGCCTCCCTTAGGGACAAACGCCTGCTTCTTCTCCTCGTAGCTGCGACGTCCGGAGTTTCGATCTTCCTTGGTCGACGCTCATCGCTGGTCTCAGGAGTATCGGTTCTTGTTGTCCCTTTTGTCTTCCCCACCTTTGGTGAGGTACTTCTTGTCTTACTTGGTGGCATCGAAAGATGAGGATGGGCGAAATTCGATTAATGACTCGGCGATGGTAATTGCATCATCGACGGTCTTGACGCCCCGGCGTTGTAGCTCTTGTTTTGCCTAATGTTGGAGTCCGTCCATGAAGAAAAAGAGTGAGTCGTTATCGGTCATGTTGGGAATCTGAAGCAAAAGGGTGGTGAATTCTTTGACATAGTCGCGTATGGTCCCCTTCTGCTTCAGCTCCCGTAATTTCCGTTGAGCCTCGTACACCACGTTCTCTGGATAAAATTGTCGCTTGAGTTCTTTGACAAATTCCTCCCATGTGTCTATCTGGCATGTGCCTCGCTCGATGTCGCCGTGCTTCTGGCACCACCATAACATAGCAGTATCGGAAAGGTAAAAGGAAGCAGTATTTACCTTGGTAGCCTCGTCCGTGAGACTTATGCCCTCAAAATATTGTTGCATCCTCCATAAGAAGTTGTCAACTTTTTTTGTGTCCCTTACGCCATTGTAGCCTGTCGATTTCGAACACTCCACCCTTGGTGCAGGCGTGGGGCTGCTAGCCTCCCCACTAGCAATCGCCTTCTTACAAACGACGAGATCTTCACGCATCCCCTCGATGCTTGCTTGGATATCCTTCACAAGGTCCTCCAGGTGATCCAAGCGGTCCTCCATAGAGTTTTGTGCATCGAGCCCCTCTTGGACGACACCTTTGACGGACTTGATTTCCTCCAAGACGTGTGTCTCCAACGTTTTGAAGGTAAACTCGACCCTTTCGAGTTTCTCAGACATTTCTCCAACGACTTGGTCTAAAGACAAGACCTCCATGCGAGCTCGACTTTGGTCACGATGTTTCTTGTCCTTGGTCTCGGTGGTGTGTTCTCTTCCTCGAGTTTACTCTTCACTTACACCTGACCTGGATACATCATGTTCCTTATCTCCTGTCATACTTACATGGTACCAAGCGTTGCTCTAATACCACTTGTCATGCCCTTGTTTCTCGAACTTGATTACGTACGCCCTTAGTCTCTCGTACTCCCTTCGTAACTAGCTAAGTCAGTCTCACCTTGCTCGAGATCGTGTTTGGTGTGTGTAAGTGCTCTGACTAGAGAAAATGAGAAAAGAGAATTTAAAGAGAAAATGTTTATATTACTATTCACTCAAACTTTAGTACAAGTGAGCTCTCAATGCTTAGATGAATTGTAAATGAGGGACTTCCTCTATTTATAGGTATCACCTCCTCTAAGGAACCTTCTAGATCCTACAAGGATCTTGGGTTTTCTAGACCCTTCTACAGAAATCTTACTTTATCTACATGTCCTAAAACCTTCTACATTACTCAAGATGATTCTTGTCCTATCTATAAATCTCTATAAAATTTTAGAATATTTATATCTTTATTACAAGTATTTATATAGTTTTAGAGTTTTATAGAAGCTTTTAATAAAACTAGATATTTTTAAAAAACTTTTATATATAAATAACTAGACTTGAAACTTTTAATGAAAACTAGACATTTTTAAAAATAATTATATATAAATAACTAGACTTAATGATGACTTAATGTAAAAAAAAAAAACTTAATGTAAAAAAAAGATGAGCATGACTCACGTATGGTCGCGGAGGTTACCTGACGCTGTCAATTAGTATATAAATGGCTTGCTTATTGAGATACCCCATGACCCGCATATTTTGAAAATTAGTCACACCCTTAAATGCATTAACCGAAATTTGAGGCTGGCCATTGAAAGACGAGTCTGCATCCGAAACTGCAATCTCCTCCGTATCTTCTAGAACTTCCAAAAACATGAATTCCCAACTAATAAAACTATTAAAAATAATATTTATCTTAATTTATATATCATAAATTTAAATTTCATACACATTAGAATCGAGAAAGAAGTTAATAATCAATTTGTTTTTATTTTATTTATTTTTTTCATCTTATACTGCCTTACACCCAACTTCTCTTTAATCCATTGCTTAACAGACCTGAAAACACAAAAAAGAATGCTTGAACAAATATAATTAATCTCTATGTTTAATTGAAGAAAAAAAACAAAGGTTTTAAAAACTAATGAGATTTAAAAATAAGAGTAACAGAAGAAGAGACTCGTACATAAACAAATACATGAATGGATAAAAAATATATAATAAATTTCTTTATTTTTCTTATCCCTTCGCAGCCGTGAACCAGTTTTAATTTCATCTTTACTGCTACTAGATCTTCTAAACAGAACCAAAATCTAACTCATCTTTAAAAAATATTTAATTTTTTTCGTTTATCAAAATTAATAATATATATTTCTATTTTTAATTATTTATTTTTATTAATAATATTTAAACTGTCAAGTTTATATTGAAAAGTTATAAAAAAAATTAACTTTTTTGTCTTGTTATAAAAACATTTAACTTTTTTTGTCTTTTTTTTATTATTGATGTCAAATTTTTTTTATCTAGAACAATTTTTAAGAATTATCAAGCAATTTTATCTACTTATATTTTTAAAGCAAATTTTTAAAATTATTTTAAGAAAAACTAAATGAAAGAAAAGAAATGAAGGTGAAAATGTTGATATAATTGTTACTTAGAAATATTGTTATTAGATAAATTACTCGTCCACATAAAAACATGCGATGGATATCAAACGGGACGTGTCACAGGTTACATGATATTACCATATTTTTCAATCTTTTAAAATGGTTCCTTTTATGTAAAAACATGAGATTAGAGTTTTTAAAATTAAATAATTAAACTTAATAAAATAATTTTTTTATTATAAAAAGAAAAATAATAAAATTATTATTATGATTATTTTAAATTATAATAAAATTTATAAATAATATATTAAAAGATATATAATAGATAATTATTAACATAAAATAAAAGTATAATAAAATAATTATTATTTAAAATTATTGTTCGAATCTCCTCTGTTTGCCAATTTAAGTTTGTGTTACTATTCACGTAAGTGTATCCACTTCTCCCGTAGGAACTGATTATGTATATTTGCTTCTATAGAGTCAAGAATTATAGTTAGATAATGGGACCTTAGCATGTAGTTATTAGGAACATTGATTAATAATATTGCATTTAGTATTTTTTGTTTTTGTTTTTAATTTTCTGTTTAAGGAATTTAAAAGCAACAAAGCAAAGTGTTTTGAGCTCTCTAAATGGCTGGTCATGTTGTTGAATTCAACTTGCTATTGATCCTCTTATCGTTTCATTTAGTGTTGGATCCTGAAATACAATTTTGATTGATTTATTATCATTGGTAGTGCGGATGAATACATCTAGCTATTGTGTAATTTTCTCTACAGTCGTTTCAGCTAAATCATATCTATTCATCTGTCTATGTATTTTCTCTAATATCTTTTAGCATTTGAGTTTCTAATTATAGTCTTACTATTTCTACTTTAAACTCAGACGTGTTTTGATAGAATATTTGCAGCAAGCAGATCCAGAAAACATGGCCGAGTCAAGCAATTCATGTAGCGATGCTTCCATGGTTGGCCTTTGGGCACTTGATACCATTTTTCCAACTTTCCAAAGCCTTAGCCAAAGCTGGTGTTCGTGTGTCTTTCGTATCAACTCCCAAAAATATTGAAAGGCTTCCCAAAATTCCTTCAACTTTAGCTCATTTGGTTGATTTTGTGTCATTTCCTTTGCCATCATTGGACAAAGAGCTCTTGTCAGAAAGTGCTGAAGCCACCATGGACATCCCGTTTGAAAAAATTCAGTACTTAAAGTTGGCATATGACCATCTCCAACATGGTGTGAAGCAATTTGTGGCCGATCAGTTACCCGATTGGGTCATCTGTGACTTCAATCCTCACTGGATTGTAGAGATTGTGAAAGAGTTCCGGGTAAAGTTAATCTTCTTTAGTTGTTTATCAACTCCTGCATCAACATTATTCGCACAACCAGAAACGTGCAAAACTCCTTTATCTCCAGAAAGCCTTACAAAACCATCAGAATTTGCGACATTTTCATCATCAGTGGCTTATCGAAGACACGAGGCAATTCCTTTTTCTGCTGGTGTGAACGAGGTAAATGCTTCCGGGGTGAGTGATCTTGAAAGGATCAAGATGATAGTTTCTGCTGCTCAAGCAATAATACATCGTAGTTGCTACGAAATTGATGGAGAATATTTGAATGCACTCCAACACCAATCTGAGAAGCCTGTGATTCCCATAGGGTTGTTACCTATAGAAAGAGGAACTGTTGATGGGTCTAGGGATAAGATATTTGAGTGGCTTGATAAGCAAACATCCAAGTCAGTTGTATTTGTAGGGTTTGGCAGTGAGTTGAAACTTAGCAAAGACCAAGTTTTTGAGATAGCTTATGGACTTGAGGAGTCTGAATTGCCATTTTTATGGGCATTGAGAAAACCAATCTGGGCAAGCAATGATGAAGATTTTTTACCTGTTGATTTTATTGAAAGGACAAATAATAGAGGAGTTGTTTGTAAGGGATGGGTCCCACAACTGGAAATATTGGCACATCCATCTATTGGAGGGTCTTTGTTTCACTCTGGCTGGGGTTCTGTCATTGAAACCTTGCAGTTTGGTCATATCCTAGTTGTATTACCCTTCATCGTAGATCAACCTCCTAATGCAAGGTTTTTGGTGGAAAAGGGTCTAGCCATAGAAGTGAATAAAAATGAAGATGGGTCATTCACTAGAAAAGACATCGCCAGATCTCTTACACAAGCTATGGTATCAGAGGAAGGAAAGAAGATAAGAAGCAATGCAGAAGATGCTGCTGCAATTGTAGGAAACATGGAACTCCACCAGGGTCATTACATAGCTGAATTTGTTCAGTTTCTAAAGAGTGGAATATGGAAACAGAAATGAAGTTGAAGATCATCATTGTTTCTTGTTTTTTTGGTTTTTCAGTTTGTTAAATAAAGCCCTATTCTTTAGGGCAGCTGTGAGAAAAAGGGGTGAAGTTTTTCTTATCAATTAGTCACCTCGTTACTGTCATCCGAAGTTACATTCTTTCTGCCTTACAGGTAACGTGGTTTTGATCAGCCTTACAATCAATACTAAGACTTACTGAGTATTCAGTTTGAAGACACAGGATACAAGCTCATTAAAAGTGAAACCTGAAGCCAAATGAACCAACTACACGCGCTCCATAGAATTAGAAAACTGCTTGGTGTGAATGAATGACAAAATTTGCAAGCATTGTATTAGTAAAAGCTAAAGCTCACAATTGAAATCTTGCAGAGTACATCATTTAGAAGGTATTTCTTGCCATGTACTGCCAAGAGCAACCCATGATTTTTATTGATCTAAACTGTCAGCAGCAGAATTTGTTTTTTTATTGATCTAAAAAGATAGGGATGTGTGTTTGGACCGTTGGGAAAGAGAAGTAAGTAAGAAAACAAAGAAATATTTCTCATTGATTTCATAAAATAAAAATAAATAATAATAAGATAATACAGTAAATTACTAAAATATATTATATTATAATTTAATAAAAATAATTAAATATTAAGTAATTAGTTTATAAAATTGGAAATAGTATTAAAATTTATTTAAAAATAAATTTTAAATTATTAAATAAGAAATTATAGATCATGTGTAATTTTTTATTTCACGTACAATTTTTAAAAAATTAAAATATAAAAAAAAATTCTAAATAAAAATGGAAACTACACATTTGAATGGTACATAGAAAAAATTATTAGTTATTTAACATGAGGGTGTGTTAAAAAATAGAAGTGTGGTACAGAAACAAAAATAATTATTGAAAACTAAAAAACTAAAAGGTATTTAAAAAATAATTAAATTTTAGTTTTTAAAAATTAAAAAACATATAATTATTTTTTTAAATAACAAATAAACTTTGTACGCTTTTATTTGAATAGATTTTGTTATCCAGTGGCCTAGTATTGAAAAATTTGTAAATAAATGTTGTAGAAAGAGAAAAACAAATTACAAATATTTTATTAAAATTTATAAAAATGACATTAAAATATGTAATGTGAATCATCTGAGGAAAAAATAATAAAATGAGTAATATTTAATAATTTTAATATTTGGTTGGCTTATGGTATTTAAGAAAAGGTATGGTATATGACCGAAGGCACCACATTGGATGCTTTCATCAAACACTAGAAATGAATAAGTGGTGTGTGTTGAGTCCTGTCAATGATGTCTGAACCTCACGCGATTGCGAAGGTGCATAATGACAAGAACGATAAAGGAGAGAGAAAAGACGATGAGAGACACAGACGAATTTTGTTCCAAGTGAGCACGGAACTCAAGAAAAAATATCTTGATAAAATACTATTTTACGTGAATAGTATACATTTTAGTGTATGCTCCAAATTTAGCTTGCAAAATACTAAGTTCTGATGTTAAAAATTAATAAAAAATTTAAAATATAATAATATTTATTAAATAAAAATATATTTTTTAAAAAAAATAGAAAATTATAATTTATATTTCTTAAAAATATTTATATTAAATAAATACTTCATTATAATATATATATATATATATATATTTTAATATTAAATTATGCATATAAAAAATATATTTATTAAATATTTAAATATATATATATATATATATTATATTTAATAAATTTATAATATATATAACAAAATATAAATATGTATTTACCATATTTATAAAAATATATATAAATATATTAAAATATAATAAAAATATTTATATATTTTTATTAAAAATATTTATATATTTTTATAAAAAATATTGTTTTTACTTACTAAAATTATTTTATATTAAAAATATATTTAAATGATATATATAATTTATTTATGTAAAAAGATATAAATATATATTTATTAAATTGTATTATATTTATAAAAATATAAATTAATATTTAAATATTATATATAATTAAATATATTTGTATTTATTATATTTATAAAAATATATTAATAATATAATTTTATAAATATATTTTTATGTTATATAAAAAAGTTTATATTTATTTCATATAATTATATAAATAAAAGTAAAAATATATATAATATTTTTATTTTATATATATATATATATATATATATAATTTTATATTTAATAAATATTATTATATTTTAAAAATTCATCAATTTGTAAGGATAAAATTCCACGTTAAAATTCATCAATTTCTTCAGTTTCGAACTTGATTGAAAAAAAAATCAGACTTAGACCATGTCCAAAAAATTAAAAATATATATTTTTATTATAAATTTTATATTATTTTTTAAATATAATATTTTAAATTATAAAAAAATGTAATAGTTATAATAATTTGTTGGATATAAAAGCATCTAAATAATCATATAAATAAAATAAAATAATTTCAATCGTTATTAATATCTTGTAATAAAAGAGTAAAAAATAATAATTTATGTAAAAAATAAAGCCATGAAAAAATAAAACTTGACTTTAATACTTTATCGAATCGTTTTCAAATACCTTTTTATCTTTATTTCTCTCATCCTATTTTATATTATAATTATTATAAAATTTGTATATTTTTTCTTCTAGGTATTATTCAAGTGTTTTTCACTTTTATATGCATCATTTTTCTTTTATTAATACACAGAGGATGAGCAAGTAGCATTTATTTTTCCATTCACCTTTTAGGACACGGATATGTTCACAATCTATTTTGAAAAAAAAAATAGAATAACTTTTTTATTAATATAAAAGAAATAAATTTATTTAAAATTGGAAATAATAATAAAAATTAAAAAAATTATTAACTAATTAATTATAGATCATGTATAAATTTTTATTTGACATACCAATTTAAAAAAAATATATGAGAAAATTAAAATAGAAACTACACATTTAAATGATACATAGAAAGAAATTATTAGTTATTTAACATGAGGCTGTGTTAAAAAGTATAAGAGTGGTATAGAAACAAATATAATTATTGAAAACTAAATAATTAAAAATTATTTTAAAAAAATATTTAATAAATAACTTTTTAGTTTTCAAAAATTTAAAAACTTAAAATAGTTTTAAATATAATAAATAAATAAACTTTGTCCGCTTTTATTTCAATAGATTTTGATATTTATTGAAAATATTGTAAATAAATATTGTAGAAAAATAATTAATTTTATAAATAATATATTTAACAATATTACTTAAATAAATTTTTATAAATTTATTTATCTAATTGACTTATTTGTTATTGATACTCAAAATTCAATAATGAAAAATAAATTTCTTTAACATAATATTTTTTTTCATTTTTTTATGTTTCTATTTCTTTATTTTGTTATTCTTTTTCTCCTACTTTTTTTTCTTTCTCTACTATCGCTCATCTTATTTTTCTAATTAAAAATATTAAATTAAAATTTGATAAAATAGATCTTTTTATTTCTAAAAATAAAAATATTTAAAAATTATCTAAAAATTCTATAATTTAATATATTATATTTTTTTAAAATATTATATTATAAATTTGAAGTATTATAAATTATTATGTTATAATTATTAAAAAAATTAAATATTATTTTTAAAGTAACTTTTTAATAAATATTTTTTAATTACTTAATTATCATAATTCAACCTAATTATAACTAGATTAAATTATTAAATAAAAATTATTTAACTCATAAATATTTAATATTTGTTTTTAATAAATAAGTAATTAATTTGTTATGATAAAATAATTTAAAATTAATTATTTATATTATCGTAAATAAATTATTTATTGTTATTATAATTTTAATATAATTATTTGATATTTTTGTTTCAATATTAATTTTAAAAAAAGTATATTAACATGATTTTATTAAATTTTAATATAGGAGAGGAGGGAGAAAAATAAAAAACATGAGATATAGAAGAAGGAAATAAGAAAGAGAAAAAATAAAAATAATAATATGAAAAGAGAAAAAAAAACTGTATAGAACTAATAAATAGGTTTATTTCAATAAATAAATTAATAAAAAATCTAAATCAATAATATTTCTTTTTAAATATATTATTTATAGGATTGATTCTAGGTAAAAATAAATAAATATTTTTATAAAAATTTTATAAAAAAAAAAAAACACTTTAAAATTATGTAATGTGAATCATCTCCATAAAAAAATAATAAAATTAGTACTACTTAATATTTGGTTGGTTGGTTAGTTTTTGACCATTGAGGTTGCTTTCACCAAACAGCTAAAAATCAATAATTGGTGTAGAGTAATGATATCGGAAGAACATGTATTGGGAAGGTGCATAATTAGTTTTGATGACCCTGTCCTTCATAATTGTTCGAATCTCCTCTTTTTGCCAATTTAAGTTTGTGTTACTATTCACGTAAGTGCTTATCCACTTCTCCCGTAGGAACTGATTATGTATTTTGCTTCTGGAGTCAGGAATTTAGTTAGATAATGGGACCTTGGCATGTAGATATTAGGAACATTGATAATAATATTGCATTTTGTTTTTTTTGTTTTTGTTTTTTTTTTCTGTTTAAGGAATTTAAAAGCAACAAAGCAAAGTGTTTTGAGCTCTCTAAATGGCTGGTCATGTTGTTGAATTCAACTTGCTATTGATCCTCTTATGTTTCATTTAGTGTTGGATCCTGAAAAAACAATTTTGATTGATTTATTATCATTGGTAGTGCGGATGAATACATCTAGCTATTGTGTAATTTTTCTCTACGGTCGTTTCAATTAAATCATATATATTCATCTTTCTTTGTATTTTCTTTAATATCTTTTAGCATTTGAGTTTCTAATTATAGTTTTACTTTTTCTACTTTAAACTCAGACGTGTTTTGATAGAATATTTGCAGCAAGCAGATCCAGAAAACATGGCCGAGAAAGCAATTCATGTAGTGATGCTTCCATGGTCTGCCTTTGGCCACTTGATGCCGTTTTTCCAACTTTCCATAGCCTTAGCCAAAATTGGTGTTCGTGTCTCCTACGTATCAACTCCCAGAAACATTGAAAGACTTCCCAAAGTTCCTCCAGCTTTAGCTCATTTGGTTGATTTTGTGCAACTTCCTCTGCCATCATTGGACAAAGATCTCTTGCCAGAAAATGCTGAAGCCACCATGGATATCCCTTTTGAAAAAATTCAATACTTAAAGTTGGCATATGACCATCTCCAACATGGTGTCAAGCAATTTGTGGCCGATCAGTTACCCGATTGGATCATTTGTGACTTTAGTCCTTATTGGATTGTAGACATTGCCCAAGAGTTTCAAGTAAAGCTAATCTTCTTTAATGTTTTCTCTTCTCCTGCAGTAACATTAGCGGGAGCACCAAGTACGTGGAAATTTCCTGTATCTCCGGAAAGCCTAACAAAACCACCAGAATGGGTGACATTTCCATCATCAGTGGCTTATCGAAGACACGAAGCAATTACTTTATGTGCTGGTACCAACGAGGTAAATGCTTCCGGGGTGCCTGACAATCAAAGACTCAAAACGGTATGTTGTGCTTCTCAAGCAATATTATTCCGTGGCTGTTACGAGATTGACGGAGAATACCTGAATGCACTCCAGAAATTATTTGAGAATCCTGTGATTCCCATCGGTTTGTTACCTATAGAAAGAGGAATTGTTGACGGGTCTAGGGATAAGATATTTGAGTGGCTCGATAAGCAAGCATCCAAATCAGTTATATTTGTAGGGTTTGGCAGTGAGTTGAAACTTAACAAGGACCAAATTTTTGAGATAGCCTATGGACTTGAGGAGTCCGAATTGTCATTTTTATGGGCACTGAGAAAACCAAGTTGGGCAAGCAATGATGAAGATTTTCTACCTGCTGGTTTTATTGAAAGGACAAATAATAGAGGAGCTGTTTGTAAGAGATGGGTACCACAACTGGAAATATTGGCACATCCATCTATTGGAGGGTCTTTGTTTCACTCTGGTTGGGGTTCTGTCATTGAAACCTTGCAGTTTGGTCATATCCTAGTTGTATTACCCTTCATCATAGATCAACCTCCTAATGCAAGGTTTTTGGTGGAAAAGGGTCTAGCCATAGAAGTGAATAGAAATGAAGATGGGTCATTCACTAGAAAAGACATCGCCAGATCTCTTACACAAGCTATGGTATCAGAGGAAGGAAAGAAGATAAGAAGCAATGCAGAAGAAGCTGCTGCAATTGTAGGAAACATGGAACTCCACCAGGGTCATTACATAGCTGAATTTGTTCAATTTCTAAGGAGTGGAATCTGGAAGCAGAAATGAAGTTGAAGAAGATAAGCATTGTTTCTTGTTTATAGGTTTATCAGTTTGTTCAATAAAGCCCTACTAGGCGCGAGTAAGCTATTAATAGCTATATAATTGATTTAAATGTTTTGATCTTATTAAAAAAAAAAAACTTTAAATTTGTATTTATAAAATGTTGTAAGATTTGATTTAATTTTTTATAATTTAAATTTTTCTAAAAAAAATTTGAATGTATGTGATATGAAAAGATAAAGGAAAATACTTTATATAAAAACAATTATATAATATTATTTTTTGATTATATTAAATAATAATATTAATAATTTATTTCTTGATTTTGAGATTTTCACATTATATTTATCTCAAAAAATTTTATTTAAGTTAAGATAATTCTGATGAATAAAAACCACACTCTTGTCCGTGCTCCCTTTTTTTTCACCAACTATTAACATTTTTCTTATCAATTATCTAAAGCTTTGTTCTTTCTGATTTTGTTCTCTATCTTGTATGATTGTTTAAAGTTAAATTATTTAATAATTGAATAAGACATTCTATGGTAAAAGAAATATAAATATATTTTAAAAACAGTGTAACACTTAATAAATTTAATGTAATAGTATCATGATTGTAATATAAAATAATTTTAAGTAATTAAAATAAAATAAATTTATCAACTATTAATTTTAAAATATAATATTTTGAATATAAAACAATACAATCATTATAATAAATTTTGGAATATAAAAATATCTAAATAATCATATAAATAAAATAAAATAATAAACTTATTTCAATCATTATAAATTCTTTATAATAAAAGAGTAAAAAGGAAAACTTTAAGTAAAAAATAAAGCCATGAAAAAAAGAAAAATGTGATAAGATCATGACTTATTATTTTATAAATAATTTAAATTTTTTATTAAAAACAATAGTATTATTGAATATCTTTCAAATACCTCATATTTTTTTTTATTCTCTCGTCTTATAATCTTATAATTGTTATAAAATTTATATTTTTACTTCCTAAGTATTATTTAAGTCTTTTTCACTTTTATATGCATTTTTTTAAGCTTGTGTAATATGAGCAAGTATCACTTATTTTTCTATTTACTTTCAGGAAAAGGATATTGTTCACAATCTATTTTGAAAAAGAAAAAAATATCTAATAACTCTTTTTATGTAATATTAAGATAATTTTAAATGATTATATTTATTATTATTAGTAAATAAGAGTTATAGGACATATGTTTAGAAAATTTGTGTTGTATGTCATGATTTTAAAATTTGATCGGAATCTAAACTAATAATTTAAGGTTTAAAAAATTCAATCAAATTTAATAAAACTTATATTTTTATATTTAATAAACTCGTTTATTTTTATAAAAAATAATAATAATAAATATTATTATCATTATTATAATCATTATAAATTATAATAAAGATTATAAAAATAAAATATATTAAAAAATATAAAATAAATAATAATTAAAATAATTTAAAAATATAATAATATAATTATTATTAAATATTGACATGATTAATATAAAATTAAAAAAAAAAATATATATATATATATATATATTATACTTCTAGAAAAAATTAAATTCAAAAAGTTTGATCTCTTAAATTTTTTTTTTATAAAAAATAATTTTACCAATTTTGTATCAATTTTTTAAATTTTGTTAATCAGGTTCATCTGGTTTTTAAAATAGTGGTTGTGTGGTAATAGTTGCTCATATTTTTGTAAGGGGGATCTCGTGCACCCTCTAAGTTAGAATCAATGCTTAGACTTCAAGAGTATTGAGTTCCAAGACACAACAGACCAAACACTATCGTGACAATAATAAATGCAGGATAGTGAGCCTCATGTATCCAACCTTCGGCCTTTATTTCTTAAACATTAAATCTCATTAAAAGTGAAACCTGAAGCCAAAAGAACCAACAACACAGGGCAAACCATATAGTATTGAAAAGCTGCTTCAGTGTGAATGAATGACAAATTTTAATATCTTTGCAAACATTGCATTCGCAAAAGCTAAAACTCAGGATATCCTGCAATCACTTTTTTCAAAATTTTCATCTGGCAGAGTACATCATTTAGAAGGCATTTCTTGCCATGTGCTGCCAAGGGCAACCCCATGATTCTTAATGGTCTGAACTGCCAGCAGCAGAATTTCTTGTTCAGCAGAGTATTGTTCATCTCTGCGCTGTAAAAAGCAGATATACAAGATAAATACGAGAATAAAAGATGTTAATGCAAATATGTCGGAATTTACCATATAGCACAATAATAAAAAATTGCATGACACAGCACTAAATGACAGTGAAAATCAACAGAAAGCAGGACATCGAACCATTGTTGAAGAGCGCAGCTAGGTACAGAAAATTTTTTAAACAGACCTTACCACGTCAAAATGGCAACCTTGCATAAAAAGTCACCTGAGTATTATTATTTGAGACAAATAAAATTTTCCTTTCAGATGCTTATATGAAATGTACCTTACTGAAACTGTGTCCTTAATTGAGCTCTTAGTTTTTGGGATCACAGGTCACGGTCACAAGAGCTTCTACATAACAACTGGCTCACTTCATATCAACTTAAGCATTAGGGATTCATTGGTAATCATCCACTAGGAATCAGTACTAATTCTGAACATTGCAGCTAACAGATCCTCCTGTATCAGTTTCCTTGGCCAATTGGCCATACCATTATTCCTACTTACATGCATGGGTGCTATGGTTCTGAGTTATTAATATATCATCTCGGAAGTATGGCGTTTGAAATTTAGGTCCAGTAAGATATCATTTGAATATTCCGTGAACGGCCAAAACAAATGTAGAACAAGCTATAGAAATCAAACTAAATCAATGTAAGATAAAATGAAGCAAAGGAAACTTAAAGATAATTATAACATCATATAGTACTTCATATAGGTCTTTCACTGTGCTTGCATGTCAATTTCATAAAATTTATTTTCATTTAGGAATAAGTTCTCCAAAATCATTTTATGAACAGAAAGGATTCATCAAGTATGAAACAACCATAACGTGGTTAAACTCAGGATTCAAATGGGTGAGGTACCATATGTTTGAGGTTGTATCCAAGAGTCAATTCTGCATACGAACTTTCTATGCGGGATAAGAAACAGTAGGGAACATCTTTCCCCAAGAAAACCTTTGCATTTGATTTGAGCATACTTTTTACATCATCTGATATCTGTGGAATCTTACTTAAATCCTCAGTTTGCAGAGGAATTTTGGTAATAATGGCACGATATTCAGCACGGGACTTGTTCACAATAACCTACAAAGTTTGCATGAAAAGAGGGTTGTCATTCAATGACTGAGGCAAAAAGTATATCACAGTCACAACATTAAAAGCTTAAGCAAGAAACACATTTATAGAACTAAGGCAACAGCTTTGTATCAATAGCATGTGTGAGAATGCAAACATGTAAATCTGAAGTGTGATCTTCAATTTACATATCCTCTGGAAAAGTTTTCAAGTACATCAATCAATTCAAGGCCAAAAATGACAAGAAAAACACAGGTGCAAATGCAATCAAGTAATTTAATCAGATACCTTGGCGGCAGTTTAAAAACTGATGAAAAGAAAAGCTGGATAAATCTAAACTCTAAAGACAACATCAAACACACTCTGACCATGAAGGTGCAGCACATAGTATGATAGCAATAGATATTATTTTTTTATACCAAAAGGATAATGAAATAAAAAGAAAATTCATATTCATGATAAGAAAAAAAAATGGTCTGAAGTACAAGCACATGTCTGCATTTCTTCTTCCCTGATATATTGATATTTATTTTTTCTCTTGCAGACAGATTATGATCTAAAACTAAAATACACCAATGAGCAAAACGACCGCTGCAAACCGAAATATAGGATCGAAGACAACAGAATTATATATATGCCTGCTCAATTGAAAAGTGAAACGACAAACAATTTTTTTCCAACTAATTGCCAAAGATCAAGATGATTGTTCGGTAATGTATAAGCGTTCAGAACAGATTTTTCTTTCGTAAAGTCATTCATAGATGCATTTTAGAGAAAGAAACAATAAAGTAGTCTTCACTAATTTTAAATTGAGGGACCCACTTCTCTGTATTTCTTTTAAGTGACTGCAGAAGAAGTGAGCTGTTCATAAACATGAGGAAAGAAGGTTCAGCTGGTAGAGGCCCACCTGGCTAGAAAAAAATGAGTTTGGTACAATGACTGGAAACTTCTCTGAACTCAGCAAAGACGTGGTAGTAAGACCCATTTCCACCACTTGACCCTCTATCGAGCCTGCCTGCAATTTTTACAATTTCTCAGACACAACATATTGGGAGAGAACCCACACATTGATGCATGAAAAGAGGGTTGTTAAATGCTTTTTGCATATCACCAAATGTTTCATGATAAATATGTTATATCCAAACTCATTTTATCTTTTTCTCCAAAACACTCACCTAAATTTATTTTTATTTTGGGTCCTCCATTGCTTCATTTCAATTCAACCCTAATTGTAACCCTAACTTACTAACTACATCTATATATGCACTATATATTGGGCCATTTAAAAAAATAATAATAAAAAAAAAACACAAGGAAGGACAATTTAACCTTATAATGAGCAAGTAGTAAAAAATTAATTATCATTCCTAACCTAAAAAAGTTAACTGTACAGAGGACATTCAACTGAATGACCATTGTTTAGAAAATAAATTTTACCACAAAAGGGACCAATCATTAATGTGCAATTACTAAATCGACATACTTTTATTGTATCTCCAACTGAAAAGGGCTTCGAAAACTGCATAGATAAACCACTGAACACATTGCCAAGTATGTCTTTGGCAGCGAAGGCAGTAGCCACTCCTGCATAAGAAAGAGAAACATGAAATCTTCAATTCCTTATTTTATTGGTAAAAAAAAAAAAGTGAAACTTGTCAAGGAATGGGAGGCAAATCTGAAACGTAATAAAACATTTATGAACAAGATAGCTTATGCTTCTGCTAAATGGAACAAAAGAAATATTTTATGTGCATGTGTGTATTATATTCCTTTAATTTTCCTACAGTTGATTTCTACATTTTTTTGAAATCCAGAATTATAATCTAACTCCTCTGAAATGAAGGGGTGCACGTTGAAAGATAAAGTTCATACAACTGTTGATTGAAAGAAGAAAAAAATCAACGGTTGAGAAATGCAATAAAATCAAATATATCTATCTATCTATCTATCTATCTATATATACATATATACATATATATACATATATATATATATATATATATATATATATATATATATATATATATATATATATATATATATATATATATATATATATATATATAACAAACTTTGAAATTTATTAGAATCTCAACTGCTGATTTGCCAATTAAAAGCTATTACCACACTTTATTCTCTAAAGTGCACTCTACTCACTTTAGTGGTTCAAATCCTTAGAACTACCAGTCTCTTTAGAGATTGAGGCATTTGTACTTCCTAGTTATACAATGTAATTTTATAAAAACAACTTATGCAGTGCTTCCTCTCACTTTGAGTTGTATGGCAAACACAAAGCACCATTAATAGAACCCCAACAAATCCCTTCAGTAGTTATACTTATCCCAATAAGATTTGCAAAAACAGTATGAATCAAAGGATTATAAACAAATTTAACTTATTTTGTCAAATTTTATCCTTCTTTATATAAACAAAGTGGAGCTTGTCACACCAGAAGATAATATATCAATTTTGATGTCATCTTTCGACCAAATTGATATGCTTATAAGGAACTTCTCTTTACTAAAACCTAAATCTCAACAAGAGTTTTCTGCCTCAATCAAGACTCAACATTAAAGAAAATCAAAGATATAGGGAAAACAGAGATGTCAAAAAATTTCAGAATCTAAAAATAATTAATCGGACTCAATTTAATACTTACCTCCTATACCACCAACAGTCACAATAGATTGCACGGCCACACCACAAGCCTCAGCAAAAGCCATTATACCAATGACAAATAGACCAATAGATGAGATTTTGTCTAGAGCAAGCACTTTCTCCCTATCAAGTCCAAGTAAACTTTGACTTGATAATGTCCGTGCAAAAACATTTGTTTTCCATCTATGTAAAAACCATACAAATGAAACTATCACTGCACCCCTCCAAACTGGTGTAAGATATTCTGAGGTTATAGTTGTTGGAGCTACCATTACACCACTGAAAATCAAAGTCAGATGTCATATAACCATAAATATAGTAAACAAAATTACACTTTTAAAATATGACTAAGTGTATACACATAACCCACTAACATTTGTGAGAATGCCATGAAGGTAACTAAATATCGCACTGGATCCTCCATAGCACCCCAAAAGCTTTTCTCATAAGGAAACGGATCTCCAGACATGCTTTCTGGCAATAGAGAAACGGGACCTTGCATAGCATATTTGTGAAATTTCCTCAAAATCATAGGCATCAAGAACCAAGCTATTAGAGTAGCAGTTAAAGTACCACCAACTGGAATAATCACCTTATCAAGATATGGGTGTGAATCAAGCCACTGCTGAGCATATGGAGTGAGATCATCAGATGTTGCTTTGACCTTTTCCCCGGCATATGATGCTGACTCTACCACACTCTTCCAAGCATCTTTAATCCTCTCACCCCAATCACCCCCAACAACCGAATCACCATTGGTATTCATGTCACTCGCACCAGAACCAACAGAGACGTCTGGACCACCATCTCTACTTCCTTTGTCATCACCCACCGTCGATGAATACAATCGGCGGTTCAACACGTGGCTCGCGGAGGCAAAAGGAAGAGCACTCCGGAAACAATAGTTAGAGAATCTAGGATTAAACGATACATTGGCTCTAGTACCAAATTGGTGACCACTTCCAAAGGATTCAGAAGCCAAATTGCTAAACTGATTCTTAGCAAATTGTAACTCTCTTTTGTAATAAGGATGACTCGGTGAATCACTTGGCAACCTTGCAAGGTTCGGATGCTGACAGTGCTGTACTAGTTCCATATTGAAAGAAACCTTGATTGTGCTTCCTATTCGTCTGACAGAGGAAGACCTAACGGCTGCCATTGTTGAGCACACTAACAACTCAACAATTGAAAGAAAACAGCGATGGCATTGTATGATACAATTTCAATCAAATACAGTAACGAGTCAATCTGCGAATTCCAGAACAATAAATCACAATTTAATCACAACATACTTTGATTGAATTAAAAATGAGAATAAACAATTCAGAATAAATGAATAAATTGATAAACCCTAAGCATAGTGTTTTCTAAATATAAGCAGAGAGGGTCGCAAATAAGGTCTTACTCACTCTCCTTTGGAATTGAATCGATTTTGGTGAATGTTGTAAGTAACCAAAAGCAGAAACATCGACAAAATTAATATCAATGTTTAGGAACGAACAGAAACTTCTTTTTCTTGCCTTGCTTGGAAAGAAAGACAATAACCCAATAAATTAATAAAGAAATGAAAAAAAAAAAAAGATAATAATAACCACTGGGTTGTATTTCACCCAGTTTCGACCCAGACACTTAGGCTTTGTTTGGTTGGAGTGATTTGAGAGAATGGAATTGAGAGAGTGGAAAAGGAGGGATTTGAAGAGAAATGAAGATGATTGAAAAGTGAAAGGAAAGTTTATGGGAAATTGTGAATGATTTGATTGATATGAGATATAAAAATTATAATTTTATGTTTATTATTTAAGAAAATTACCATTTTACCCTTTGTATCAAATAAGGTTCAAATGATTATAAATATAATTTTTTAATTAATTATCCATATTTTAACATTGATTATATATTTAAAAGAAAAAACAAATTTAAAAGTGTTTGTAATTGGAAACAAATTTAAAAAATTAACTTTTTTTAGATAGTTATTAAAAATTATATAAATAAACAATTACAAAATTATGTACATTGCATATCCATATTCAAATAATGTTGACATATTAAATAAATTATTTGACTAATAATTAAATAATTATAAAATATAAAATAATAATTAATATTGATTGATAATAACAAATAATTATGAAAACTAATAATATAATTGTACATTATTATTTAAAACAAATATAAAATACAGTAAAAATAGAATAATAATTAAAGGAAAGATTACTAAAATTATAAATCTATACACACTAATGTTCTTCAAACAAATAATTATAATGTGACCATTTGATGAAGTCAAAGATAAAGTCAAAAGTCAACTCGCAACAGATCAAACAAGTCACTCGGAAGAATGGAGCTGTCTTAACAGAAAGCTTAGGTAAAACCACTCTACCTTTTCCACTTGCATGAAGCTCCTTCACTCAATTTGCAAAATGCCTCAAAAATAGTTTTAAACAAATCAAACAAAAGCATTTTGACAAAGAACTTTCTTAACAATGATTTTAACCGATATAGTTTTAAAAGAAACAATTAAAATCACTTAGAATGCGTAAAGAAGTGTTTTTACAGTATTTTAATCGATACAAACTTCTTTTAATCGATTAAAACCCTTTATGACCGATTAGAATTCGAATATGACAGGTCAGAATGAAATATAATCAATCAGACTTTAAAAATGAGCTATCAGATTTATTTTAATCGATTAAAACACGTTTTAATCGATTAAAACCACTTTGGAATTATCGATCAGAATTGAATTATGACCGATCAGAGTTGGTTATGATCGATCAGAATTGAATTATGACCGATCAGACTTATTTCAATCGATTAAAGCGAATTTCAATCGATTAAAATGACTTGAAAATTTTTGTACGAGTTTAAATCGATTAAAACGCATTTCAATCGATTAAAATGACTTAGAAAAAATTACATGCAGGTTTTTAATCGATTAAAACTTCTTTGTATCAGTTAAAATAACTTGAAAAGTGTTATAAGAAAGTTTTAAATCTGAATCAATCGATTAAACCGCGAATCAATCGATTAAATCACTCTTATAAAATGTTTGTAAAAAGTTTTAAGCTGATAAAAACTTGGTCGTATCGGCTAAAACAATTCGTTAAAGAACAAGAACGCATTAATGGGTTGAAAGGACTTTTAACAGATTATAACGGCTATTTCAACAGATTAAAACAAATTTTCAACAGATTAATTAATGCAGCTTTTTACGAAAACTCTTTTATAAACGAAATTGCTTGGAACTTTTATCATATCAGTTTTTAAAAAACAAAGCAATCAATTTAAGCAACTCGTTAGCATCCTTTTTCCAAGAAAGAATTACAACTGGAAGTTGGTTCTTGGTGGAAAGGTTGAGTGCAAGAACATGAACAAGCTGGGAGAGACGAAGATGTCCCATATATCTGACTCCGAATGTTGAAATGTTGATGATCGTCTCATCACATTAACTTGAGATAAAATAATTACAATATAATTTTCTACTTTGAGAATTAATAATATAATTAAACATCAAAATTGAGAATACTCTTATACATTTTGAACTCTTTTGGATAAATTTTGTTTCCCTAATTTTTGATAAAGTTAATTTTAATATTTAAATTTATTAGAGGTTAAGGTTTAACCTCTATTATAAGCTCCCTTTAAGAATGGTTCTTAAAGTGTTCCATCAACTCCCTGCTGCTTCTCAATTCCTGATTGAATCAGTGCCAGAGTCGGATTAAAGAAAGTAGAGTCGGATGTTATTGCCTTTGCCCCCACGCCAGCTTGCTCTCTAATCCCACTGCTGATTGGATTGAACTGAAAAAAGTGGAGCTTAGGTAGGCTACAGCAACTCTCAAAGCGTGAGCTCATAAGCCGTATTTCGCTCGAGCGAAATACGATCCTGATCGATCATAAGTTGAAATGATCGATCATAATTGGAGGATATAATAGCGGTTCCTCTGTAACCGCTATCTAAAGTGTATATTAGATAGCGGTTCCAGTGGAACCGCTATCATATACAATCATATTTTTATTTCTTGAGTCTCGGGTTGTGTTTCGCTTGAGCGACTATATCTCGCTCGAGCGAAATATGATTCTGATCGATTAGATTTACGAAATGATCGATCATAATTGGAGGATCTAATAGTGATTCCTCTGTAACCGCTATCTAAAGTGATATATAATAGCAGTTAAGATTTAACCGCTATTAGAAGTGATATATAATAGCGGTTATGTTTTAACCGCTATTAGAAGTGATATATAATAGCGGTTAAGTTTTAACCGCTATTAGAAGTGCTATTATAATAGCGGTTAAGATTTAACCGCTATCATATGGAAGAGGGTAACTTCGCCATTTCATTATTTCCAACAGACTTTCACCTCTTTTCTTCGCAGATCAGCGAAGAAAGTCTCTCTCCCCTCTCCCCCTTTTCCTCGCCTGCATTTCTTCGCAAATCTGTTCAACCAAATGTGGGTGAATCTCGTGCTTCTGTCTTCGTGAACAGTATTTCGTCGCAAATCAGTTCAAACAAACGGGGGCTTAGAGAGGGTAGAAAAATGAAATCTTAATTTATATTTGAAGGAAAAACAGTATAATTCTCTTTTTCAATTTCAAAGGTTTTTCTATAATTGAGTATTATTTTATTATAGTTTGCGTTATTTTTCTTATAATCAATATTAGAGTTAATGTTATTATTGTACATATAATTATTCAATCAATTAAAAAAAACAAAAAATTTAACTTATTTTTTCAGACGTGACTTTTTTGTAATTTAAGAAAAATTTAAATATTTTTAATCATAATATTATTATAAAATAAAATAATTATAAATCAATTCATTTCGATAAAATTTCATATAATTAACTCATGGAAATAAAAAACATCTCACCATCTTGATCTCCATCATCAATTTCTCTAGTTTTTCTATATTTTCAAAATAAATAATTTTAAAACAAAATAAACTGGCTGAGTATTGAATAATAAGAAAGTAAGATTAAAATAAGTTATCATATGACTTATAATGGTTAGTTATTTATGCAGAAATGTTAATAATATTTGAGAATAAAAGACCAAAAATAAACATTTTTTTTTAAAACACAAGATTAAAATAAAAATTTATTCTAAAATTGAGAAAATAAATCAGTATTTAGACGTTAATTAAAATAGTATTAAAATGTAAAAATAAATTATTATAGAATTTGATTTATCATCTGTTTGCTTCTGTAGATGTATTATATAGAGAAATGTAAATCAGCTTCTATTTATTTAAATTGATTTGAAAAAGAATATGGTTCTACATTTTTATTTACCACTCAATGATGTTCCTATCAAAAACCAACTTAAGATGGATAAATTTCTGAAATACCTCCAAATTACAAAGTTGAAACTCAAGCGCAGGATTGATTTTTTTTTTTTTTTCAAAGCATACACTAGGCAAAAATAAAATTGCACAAATTATATATATAGAAGTAATTAACTTACTTATTATATCGTTTATATTTTTGTATATAATCTAAAAAAACATGTATAAATATTATATTTTACTAATAAAAATTTTATATAAAATATTTAAAAAATTAGAAATCATATAGATAAGCTTGTAAAATTTTATTTAAAATCTTCCAGACAATTAAATTTTTTATGTAAAAAATTAAACATCAATTTAAAAGGTTAATCCTATTTTTGAAAAATTATATTAAATATTTTTAATATACATAACAATTATAATTAATATCATAAATAATAATTTTTTTAAACATTACTCAAATAAAATTCTTTCAATCTGTTACCTAATTAAATTTATTTTTATTCATACATTTTCTCTTCTCTTTTTTCTCTTCATTCATTCTTTTTACTTTTTTTCTCTTGTCATTTACTCATGTTTTATTTTTCTTTTGATATTCACTCATTTTTTATTTTTTTAAGAATAAATATTTTAATAATGTAAAGAGAAATAATGGTTAAATAAAATAAAGATTTAAATTTTTACTTTTAAAATAAAAATTGTGACGTTTTTTTATTATTATTATTTGTATAAAAGTAGCAGGTTAAAAAAAATATTACATATATGTAAAAATAATTTACATCACTATATAAGATATACAAAAGAAGAAGTAATTTTATTTTGATTCCTTCTTTTTTTTTCTACAATCTTACAAGTATCTACATTGCTAGGT